GGTGTCCACGATAAAGTGATTATCAATAAAGTTAGATACATTAGGCACTATGAGTTTTCTTGTTTTTATTTCAATAGAATGACTAAATTCGCTTCTTCGGAGAAGTGACGATAGTTACTTCGTCACTTTGACGAAAAATTCGCTCGGAGCATATACCAGGTAACGGTTTCGTCAAGAACGAAGAAAGTTTCTTGAAATTTGAGCATGCATTTTTCCATGCATGGGTTGGCCATCTGTGATTTACACTATAGCCTTTTCAGATTTCATTTACTTATCAAGAAATAGAATTTATGAAATTTAAAACCCTCCAAATCACATAAAAATAATTTTTTTATACAGAATGGTGTTTTCCATAATATAGCAACAACAAATGTGATAATGATGTTTATTTAACAAATGAATTATAAATGAACACCAGGAAAGCAACTTTTATGCTAGATGAACAACTTGATCAACTGTTGTTATGCCTTCGGGATACTGACCAATAGCACTGCATCTGCATATTCCACGATCAATCGGACCAGGATCATGGATCATCAGAATAGATTTGCCTCTGTGATCGAAGGATCGATTACATAGATCTTGAGGAAAACACTGTGGATATGGACAAAAAGGCTCCTCGAAGTCGCCTCGCATTTTTGACCACACAACATTCTGTTAAAATAAAAAAATATATCAAAATAAAAAAATTATTATGATTGCCAAGAATTCACTATTCGATTCTATTTCCATGGAGCAATTCAATTACACTAAATATCAAAACTTTAAAATTTTCTCAAGGAGTAAAAAAATTCTTGTGAAATTGCAATAGTGTCTTTTGATGATATTTCTGGTTACTGAAGAAGACAAAAAAATGTCGGAAAAAAATCTATTGATCAAATTGTCACAACTTGAGACTTCTATTGCTTGAGACTACCAGGACCAATCATCCAAATAAAATCTTTAAATTTTTAATCTATCTGCCATGTTTATTTGAAAGCTAAAATAAACACTTTTGCTAGCTAACCACCTGTTATTATTTTATTTTTGAGCCTAAATGAAAGGAAATCATACAGATATGAAATTTTCTCAATTTAGAAACATGAAAAAAATTCAGAACCCATCACTTATTATCTGGAACTTCCACCCACACATTAATTGATAGATAACATAAATTTTTATTTTTCAAACTGAAATTTAGCTGTTAATGTATAATCAAAATAAAACTCGTAGAAACAGGCTCAATAACATCATGCTTTAACATTAAAAAAACACTCCAAAAATGAAGCTTCGCAAAAAAAGCAACGTTAAAAAAAGATCTTTTAATGATTTCATTGATGGTGGGATAATATCTATTTCACTTATTTTTCTCAATAACCTAAACAACTGAAATTTCAATTGTTGTTTATGTTGTTGTATGTTGTTTTTGTCGTAGTTTTTACCCAACAAAAAGCTTTAATCAATCAGGTTAAACTGCAGGGGAATAAAATACATTCCAATTATTTTTTACAAGAATATAAACAATTAAAATTGCAATTGTTGTTTATGCCGTTTTTTACACTACTCAAATTTTAATCCATCACTTTAAGCTACGGTGGAATAAAATCTGTTCCACTTATTTTTCACAATAATATAAACAGCAAAAATTGCAATCTTAGTTTATGTTTATCTTTTACACTATGCAAATTATAACTAATCACATTAAACTACGGTTTCATAGTATTTTTTACAATAATATAAACAGCTGAAATTGCAGTTGTTATTTATGTCTTTTCTTACACTACGCAAATTTTAATCAATCACTTTAAACTACGGTGGAATAAAATAATGTCTACTTATTTTTTACAATGATATAAACTAAAATTGCAATTGTTGTTTATGCTATCTTTTACGCTAAGCAAATTTTAATCAGTCACATTTCTACAGTGGAATAGTATTTTTTACGATAATATAAACAACTAAAATTGCAATTGTTATTTATGTCATCTTTTGCATTACGCAAATTTTATTCAACCACTTTAAACCACTGAAGGATAAAATCTATTCCAATTATTTTTCACTATATTATAAGCAACTAAAATTTTAATTGTTGAGTAAATTAGTTAAGAAATTAGAGTAATCATTTTTAAAAGATAACTCCTGTCACGGAAGACAATAACAGTGTGTACTTTTAGATGTAATATAGTAATTGGATTTAGACTGCAGTGATGTATTCGATATAATTACTACCATGAGTAACAAAGTTTTATTGATCTGTAGTGCATTAAGAAATTAAAAACTTTGAACAATTATTGATTCGATCTCAATTTAACTCCTTTATTTCTTGTGAACGCAAACAACTGAACAATTACGAAAATTTCTTCGGATTTAGTCACGTTCTTTGCTTTTATTTCATTAATCTTTAAAAATAATAGGAAGTCATTAAATTGATTGCATTTTACGTTCGTGTAAAGAATAATAATATTGAAATGAACCAAATAAAAAACATTTCTAATTAAAACTTTATTTTCTCCTTTCACATTGTAAAATCAACTGGTCGAACTGTTACAGAAAATGTCAGTCTTCGATTAAGTAAATATTTCACTTACTTCACTTTTAGAGTTTTGAGTAAATTTTAAGAAAAATAAATAAAGGGATAAGTACATATATACTTTCTCGATTCATGTTTCAGATTCTGAATCGCTAAAAAATATTTTTATTAAATTTCCCACTGAAACTTTTTTTAAAACGGAACTCAATCAAAGAAAAGGTGTATCGCAAATTACAATGTATTTACAGCTAAATAACTATTTTAAAAGAAAATGTCGACATGTAACTAAACTTAAACATGCCTATTCTCATGAAAATGGAATAAATAAAGCAAACACTGGTTTAAGCATTTTAATGCTCATTTTCTGGTTTTTAGGATTTGCAGGCTTACCATTTCCGAAGAAAAAAACTAAAATGTTGGCAAAAATCTTTCAATACTTATTGTTCTTTGTTTATGAACTATATTCGGTTCATCTTGCTTGTTATCTGATGTACCATGTGCTTCATGACGACAAAATAGGAAGAGAATTACTTAGCGAAAGTGTATATGCATTCCTTGTTATAATCTTACATTTATACATCTTTTTAAAAAGATTTGAAATACTGAACTGTTACAAAACACTACACTCTGTTCATCGTAAATGTGATTGCTATTCCCAAAATTGGAGATTAAAAATATATTTTATTTTTCTTACATCAATAACTGTAACCTTAATTGTAACACTTATTCCATTTTTATTGGCACGTTTACATTCCGTGACGACTTATGTATTGTTTGGATACAAGAACTGGGAAGGCAAAGGAACGTTATACATATTTATTCTTTCAATATCGTCTCAATTGTTTCAAAATATCTTGAGGTTCGTTGTGCCAGGCTTGTCCATAGCTCTTTGCTATCATTTTTACAGCAGTTTAAACTGCTGCATCAATGATCACAAACGGCAAAAACAAGAAGAGATAGAACTGAATGTCGATTTGAAGAGCGATGAAAATAATATCCATAAGTCCCTCAAAAGAAACAATGCAAATTTAATATTTGGTGGAAAACGACAAAGATTTAGATCACCAGACAACTGCAATGATGATGCAAAATATATTTTGCCAATAAACTTATCATCTCAATCGAAGAAAGAGAATGCGGAGACCTTCATTGATGCAACTAAGAAACATTCGTATTTAAATATTCACCGTGGAACTGGAGAACCAGATTCCAGTGCAAATATTTCAGCAGAAATTTTGTTTATGACAATTGAGAAAAAATTGCAAGTCATCACATATGTTACAAAATATGTTGATGCAGTCATTTCTCCTATTTTATTTCTTCTGCTCGGTTTATTTATAAGTGAAATTCTGCATTTAAGTGCCATTATATCCGGAAAAAATGCTAATTTCAGCTACACAGTTATAGCTATTATACTAGTAATCTTAATACTTATGGTCACTCATTTTCTGATTTTAGTCGCATCTAAAATTGAGAACAATTTTCTGGAATTAAAACAAGTAATTATAATAAGTATAGGATCGAAAAGCGAAATTTACAACAGCATTTTCAAAGGTACGAATTATATATCTTTGTGCGAATTCTTAAATGCTTTGTCACGCGATGTTCATATGACTGCTATGAAAATGTTCAAGATAGACAAAGGCGTCTTTCTTTCAATTTTGTGTGCATTTATAACTTACACAATCCTACTACATCAAACACTAGATCCTTGATTCTATTTAACTAATTAAGCATTTAATATAAATGCACTCTCTCGCAGAAATAAAATTCTCACTTTTGACGATTTAGCAATCCTTGAGCCTTAGCAATCCTTAGCAATCGTTAATTTTTAAATTTATTTCGTCATCAAGCGAAATCACGTAATTTGTGACTCAACGCGAACTCTCAAATGTATGACGAAAATGAAACCTCATCGTAGTGCATTGTGGGAGATTATTAACTAGAATGACGAGAGTAGAACATATACTCGAAAATCGAAAATAAAATAACAAATTAAACTGACCAGCAAGTGTGGTGGTTAAGGAGTTGGACTCGTATGAGGAGGAACGGGGGTTTGAATCTCGCTTCGAGCATAAATGCAATTTTTCTATCTGTTCTGTCTGGACTTGTTGTGCTGTGCCGTGCCACCTTTATGGTGCTCACGTTGAAGTGATTATTAAAAGTGTCAGATACATTAGATACTACAAGGCTTTTTTGGAAAAAAATAGAATGACGCATTTTTTTTCTTTTAATTTTGATGAAATTCGTTTCTCGAAGAAGTGACGATAGTTATTTCGCCACTTTGATGAAATTTTAGCATAGAGCAGGGCTGTCCGACTGCAAAGAGCCCACGGGCCAGAATTTTGGTCACTGATCACCTAGCTGGCCGCAGTTTGAAAAAGTTGAACAATAATCTCTTACCTCTTATACAATTACAATTAATAGTTGGATTAATAATTATAAAACAATGAAACAGAAAGATTATAAAACAATTTGCTTACATTTTACATTAAAACTGAGGCCGATCAGCCTTCTTTATAAGGGCAGGAATGTCAACATCGATGTTTGTCGTTGGCAGCCGAAGAGAGTCTAACAATGAACTGTCGGAGTGAGAGCTCCTGTGACGATTCTTGATAAACTTCATCGCCGAAAAAGCACTTTCGCATAAATATGTGCTCCCAAACATGAAAGTTATTTTCAGTCCTAAGTCACGCAGATTTGGAAACCGTTCAATTGGAAGCAATTTGAAGAACTTGGGTCTCCTTTCGGTTCTTGTTTGAAAGAACGGGTCAACCTGGAGATCACAGAGCTCTAATTGTAGGTTGACCGTTTGTTCCTCAATGCTTGCTTTGACTGGATTACTAAACAGAGACACGTCATTCTTGATACTATCAAAATCTGAAAATCTCGCGTTGAATTCATCAATAATTGTCTGCAATTCAGGGCAAAATTCAGAAAAATTCAGCACTTTCTTACACTCTGACGTCAAACGACTGCAGCTGGCGAAGTGAGATAAGTTATTGCTTCCTAAAGTTTGCATGGAAAATTTTCAGCTTGTCTCTAAACCCATTGATGTGTGCCATTAGGTCAGACACCAGTTGGTCTCTTCCTTGTAGTTTTAAGTTCACATCGTTGAGCTGGCCAGTAATATCAGTAAGAAATGCCAGGTGACGTGAAAAATCCATGCTTAAAAGTTCTTGTTCAAGGCTTTCTGATGGAGAAAACTGGTGAAGGAAAAGAGGGATTTCTTTTCTCAAATCGAAAAATCTCTTGAAGCAGTTTCCGGCACTAAGCCACCTAACTTGATAGTACATCAGGAGGTCTCCTTATTCTGCTTCAATTTCCTCCAAAAAGTTACGGAACTGCCGATGCATAAGAGCCCTGTTGCCGCCTCTGATCATGTTGATGACTTTCACAACTTTTTTGAGGGTTTTAGTTTGCTTCACCGATTTCCCGCATAAAACATGCTGGTGAATGATGCAATGAAGTGCAGGGCATTTCATTCCATTCTCTCTCAAACATCCAATCAATCCTATCTTTGGTCCTACCATTGCCTTTGCCCCGTCTGTAGCTATTAGACGGAGCACTTTTCAAAACCTCCGACAGTGTTGACCGCTTTCATCACTGCTTCAAATATGTTCCTAACCTTTGTTGTGGAGTGAAGAGAACACATGGTAAGGAGCTCCTCTTTGATCTCAAAGTCTTCTTTAGCAGTGCGAATGAAAATCAAGAGTTGACTAACGTCCGACAGGTCTGTACTCTCGTCGATACACAAGGAGAAATAGCAGCATTTTTCAATCTCGCGGGACAATTTCTGTTGTATTTGGTCACCCATTTCGGCAACTCTTCGTTGGGTGGTCTGATGAGAAGCTGGAACTGAATCAAAATGCTTAGCCACTTTGCTATCACCAAATCCTTTTGCCATTTCTACAGCACACTTTTTAACAACTACGCCATCAGTGTAAGGTTTTTTCGCTTTAGCAAGCTCAAGTGAAGTTGCATACGAAGCATGCAATGCATTGTACTGATCAGATTTTACTTGAGTAAACATCCCAGTTTGTTTTTGCAGTTTTGATTTCAGTTCTGAAACTATCAGAGAGCTTGCTTCTCCTTGATATTTACTGTGGCTCCCTTCGTGAAGACTCGCGTAATGCCTTTTGACATTATACTCTTTTGCACACAGCCACAACTTGCATACAAATCAAGCGCTGGAGTTTGTCCTTTCTATTCGTGATGAAATACTGGTTTTCCCAGATGTCCTGGAACACTCGATTCTCACTGTCTATCTTCCGTTTCTTACTCATCGTTGGAAGATGAAATATTCACAATCAACAATAAAATTAGTTTTCACACGTTCCCAAAAAAAATATAGCTACGGTACAAGAGAGGTTTACTTCATATCCAAAATCTGCATGCTTATCTGAGAACCTAACATTCGTCGCACCCAGTCAGATAAAGATCATCAATGGAAAGGAGCAGAGAGTTGACGAGCGCAAGCTCTCAATTTTTTTTTCGAAATCAACAAAAGCCGCAGGGTTAGTGAGGGGAGTTTTTATTTTTGACAAATTGCGGGCAGGTTTTGCTTATCTGAAATGTTTCTCTCTTCCCTCCCTGTCTCCCCCGCCTGGTATTGCCAACGCGAGGCTATACTATTTCTGTAAAAAAAAACAGCGTGCAGGGCAAGACTGCTCTTGACCTTGGCCTGTAGATGTCCTGTACCTTTTTCTCCCAATACAATGAAAGGAGTGAAAGAGCGATCAAGAGGAAACTTCGGTGACCTCGGCTTGACCAAGAATGGTAAGCTCGGATGCTTCTTGATACCATAAAATTTCGAAAGAAGAAATATGCTGAATAAGAAGCTGATTGGCCGCACAATATGTTTTGGACAGCCCTGGCATAAAGCATACCAGGAAAGGGTTTCGTCAAAAATGAAGAAAGTTTCGTGATATTTGAGCATCTATTTTTTACAGTTTGACACTTTCACTTCTACTAATTTTACTTCACGGCAATTATTAAGAATCTATGAATTGTTGATTCAGTGTTTTTTTTGACATAAACATCTTATTGCACTGAAAAAATTTATCTTGAACATAATTGAAACAGACACTTGTTTTGTGAAGCGTCATTTGTTAAAATACTGCCTCATGTTTACGAATTCCGACTTACGTCAAAGATTGTTTTTTTTTAACTAGACAATGTAATTTTAACAAGTTTTGCCTGAAGAAATTTTCTAATCTGAAACTAAACTTATTTTGAAAATTAAATAATTTAATTTTGTAGCATTATTCAAACTTGGCTTATGAATTCTTTGAAAAAAACTAATTTCGTGTTTTTATGCGAATTTTTAAACTTTTTGTCATGTCCACTTTCAGCCGCGCAAATGATGTTAAGAGGCCAAATGTAAACGCGAGCATTTCAGAAACGAAGCTTTAAAAATAAAGCCTTCTGAAATTTTATAACTCTGTTCTATCTAGTTTTCTTGTGTTGCTAAGGCGACATTAGTCCACGATAAAGTGATTATTAAGAAGGTTTGATACATTAGACACTACGAGTTAACTTGCTTTTTTTTATTATTAATAATATATAGAATGACGAAATTCGTTTCTTCGGAGAAGTGACGATAATTATTTCGTCACTTAGACGAGAAATATGCTCGGCGCATATACCAGGGAACGGTTTCGTCAAAAACGAAGAAAGCTTCGCGAAATTTGAGTATTCAGTTTTTCCGTGCATGGGTTGGCCATCTATGTTTCAGATCAGCGGTTACCAACTGATGGCCCGCGTGCCACATCCGGTCCACGAAGACTTTTTTGTGGCCCGCGAACTAAAATGTATTAGTAGTCATTTTTTATGGACAATTTTGGTAAAAATTCTATATACGTTTAAAATTCTTTTCTCGTTTAAAAAAAAACCCCGATTAATTTCTGTGAATTTTAACATACCAACGGTGGAAAAAAAAATTCTGAGGTTTTGCTTCCAAGAAAATTATTTTAATGCAAAAACAATAGTGTATGTTGCCCTTTCTTATTTCCTTTTTTTGTGAATTGGATTTAGCATGTGCGTATCAGAAATTTTCTGATCTAACGTTTTGGACGAAATTATTTACATCTGTAAATTTTAAATTTAAAATGTAAATATCTATTCTCTGGTGGCTGCAGCAGACAAACCTCAATTCTCTCAGTGAACATTTTGTGTACTACTACGTAAGTTTTAATACCAACCTTTTTGAAGTTTTATATCTTAGCAATTAGATATCTGTTGCACACTAATTGCTTAATACATAGGTGCACATTAAAGTTATTGTAGCCAGAATTTTTTAATACGTAATTAAATATTTTTAAAAATCTACTTCTTATTTTAATTTGTAATTCAATTGTTTTGTACAACTTGATAAAAATCTGACAGTATTATTTAATGCTCCTTCAAACATAAAAGAGTCCTACATAAAATACTGATAAAGTTGCGGCCAGCCATTTGACTGGTGTTTTTAACTGCGTCCCCTGGCCTCATGTAAGTTGTAAACCCCTGTTTTAGACAATAGTCTTTCATTTGCTTATCAAGAAATAGAATTTGTGGAATTTAAAAATCTAAATCACATAAATATAGCTTTATTTATACAGTATGATGTTTTCCATAATATAGCAACGACAAATGTGATAATAATGTTTATTTAACAAATGAAATATAAATGAACACCAGGAAAGCAACTTTTACACTAAATGGACAACTTGATAAACTGTGGTCAATCGGCCCTCGGGATACTGACCAGTAGCACTGCATCTGTATATTCCACGATCAACTGGACCAGGATCACGGATCATCAGAATAGATTTGCCTCTGTGATCATAGGATCGAATACGTGGATCTTGAGGAAAACACTGAGGACATGGATAAAAAGGTTCCTCGAAATCACCTCGCATTTTTGACCACACAACATTCTGTGAAAATAAAAAATGTGCCTTAATAAAATAATTTTTATGATTGCCAAGAATTCACTATTCGATACTATTTCGGTGGTACATTTCGAAGATAAACATAGTTCTGGAATCGAAACTGAAATGTATGGTATTTAAACCACTTATATGGCAATTTCCATCCATAAATATAACAGTTTACAGAAAATTCTGTTGTTTAAAATTATAATTATACATTACAACTAGTGAAAATACCTAACAGAAAATTAAACTGAACCGAATAAATAGTTTTTTATGCCATGCTCTAAGGTATCATGATCAAACTACCAAATTTTGCAACATTTACTAAATTTTAACACAAATTATAAAAAGTTATTTTACTGTTTATTTTACCAAAAACATTTCCAAACGTCTTCGGTAAAAACTTCCGAAAATTATGATGTTCCCATAGAGCCGGAAAAAAGATCCACGGTAAATTTTACCATATTCTGGTAGTTTGGACCATACTTTTTTTTCTCAGTGCCGAGATATATTTTGAAAATTTGTTTTACATTTACGTTCTATAAAGAAAAAAGAATAAAAATTTAAATCGTTCAATAGCTAATATCATATATTCAACTCAAAATAAGGTCAAGATAAAATTATTTTTACTCAGTAAAGGGCAGCTATTGACAATATATTCGAAATTTATTCCTTCCTCTTTTTTGATCTGTCATTAACATGCTTTTTTAAATTAACAGCAACCATAAATTTAATATATTTCTGTTTAAATTCTGCATTCACTGCTCAGATACAGCTCAAACTTTTTAAGGTAAGATGCATGCTCAATTTTGTATTGTTGTATAATTAAAGTTTCAATAACATCTGCTCTGTTTTACGAAAAGAAATGTTGTTTCTATGTTGCTTATAATAAAAAAAATATTAAACGCAAACAGGAAGCCAGTCAAAAATTAAAACTGTTTTTCAATCAGAATTTTTTTCCTTTTTATTCAATAGGACTTTTTTTAAAGTTATTCCCAATAATTTAATTCTATGCATTTCTATTTCTAATGTTGTCCTCTTATGTACTTCTAATTTAGATCAAAATCATATCTTATTAAAAAACATATTTGTGATGACATTTTTTGTAAAACTAAATCCGTATTCTGAAATGAATTCAAATTTTCAGAACTTCACAAAATAATGTAAAAATTTTAAAAACTTAATTTCACAATTCCAGTATAAGGATCATATGAGATATATTAAAAGTAGATATTCAGACTTTAGTTATAAAAATACAATCCTTCCTTATCTATTAAAAATAAGATTTTAGGTCTACATTTTAAGTCTAATTAATTTCAAATAAGATTTAATGTCTAGTGTAATGTGTAATGTTTAATGTATACATTAAAGTTTACTGTCTTTTAAACATTTTACAATTTGCATACAAAATTATTTGCCTCGTAGTGTATTTTCCAAATTTTGAAAAATAAATCTTCAGAGAATAATTGTTTATAATCCAAGTTACAATAATTAGGCTATACAAAAACTAATACATACACAAAACTAAAAAAAGAACTAATTTATTCAATTAACTTATAAAAATTAAACATTTTTTTTCAAAACCAAATATGCTTTCTATGAGGTTATTTCAATTGTAAAATTATCTGGCAAGAATGTTATGAAAATTTTTGAAGTTTAATTGAATAGTATCACTGGATTATGCAATTAATCAAGATTATTCGATTAGATTATTCGATTGCTATATTCAGAAAATATTTATTCCTATAACTTATAGCTTCGAACTACTTTAGTAACTAAAGTAGGTATAAATTTCTTTTGACAATTTTTTTAACATTTTCGTACTGTTATTATCTAGAAATAACTCGCAACGCAAAAAATGTAAAGATGATAAATAATTTATAATTATAATCAACTTATGAAACATGCAATAATGTATTCAAAATTATTCTGAACTAAATAGCTTAAAATATTATAATGCCTAAAGGTGAAACATCCTTCTTCAATTAAATTCAAATATTAGCATTTGTAAAGCTTCGAAAGTAAAACTACATCTCAAATCCTTAAACCTATGAATTAATTTTAGAATCGTAAAACCACATGCGTGTGAATTTTCTGAAAGCGTAAATAATTTGGAATCCAGAAAGTCATTTTATTACTCTCGTTGAGTATACAAACACTGGTTTCTAAAAATGCGAAAACTCTCATATGCATACCATCTATTTGCATGCAAAAAGGATACAATTGGTAAACCTAAGGACATAATGCACTTTGTTAAGAGGGTAAAAACCTACTAAAATTACCTTTTGCATAACTATGTGTTTGTCTGGAGGGCCCAAACCTTCTGAAGAAGTTACTTTATGTCATGATTAGCTGCACCGCTGATTTCGCCTAATCACGGAATTGAAAGATTTGTGTTTCGTATTTGCAGTGAAATGGAAACGAGTAGAAATTAATGGTCTGTTTCAATATTGCTGATTTTCTTTGCTTTATTTGAATAAGTGAAAATAACATATTTTGGTTTTTTATAGTAAGTCGCTTTTGATATAAATATGGAGTAAAGAAACATGTATATCATTGTGTTTTTTTGAGAATTACGTTTTTAAATTTCAAAATTTTATATTTTTGAAAATTATTTAAATGTTCTTATTAGAAATTCCCTTTTTTCCATCAAAACTCTTTTAAACAAAAGCATTACTTTTATTTTCGAAAGGAATGTTAAGATCGTCATAAACATCCGACAATTATTTTAATTTTAATAAAATTTACAAAATGTGACATTAAGCATTTAAAATAATGTAGTTTTTAGTTCCTTTTTTCTGCTATTATTTTAGCTAACCATAAAATATCGTATCTTCAATCAACATTACAAAGGCAAGAAATTTTTTCTAGCTACTAAAAATCAACACGTAATCAAGTACATCATTTATTGAGCTTAGCTCGGAGAAAAATATTTTTGAAAAACCACCTTACTCTTGTGGTAATGGCATTTCTGGTAAAAATAACCATAATTCTGGCAATACGATGAAAATATATGGTATTTAAAATATTTACTTTGCTATTTTTCCATTCCTATGGTAGCGGTTTACCGAAAATTCTGGTTTTCAAAATTAAAGTTCTTATTACCAGACATTTGGTAAAGAATACAAATCTAAAAAGTAAATTAAACCGAATAAATGGTTTTTATGCCCTTTTCGCGATAAAATATATCACGATAAAATTTCAAAAGTTAACCACATTTAAAATTAATCACATATTGAAAAACCTTAATTTTTCCAAAGTCATTGCTAAAAAGCTTTTTTAAAAACAACCGAGAAATTTGGAGTTTCAATAGAGCCAGAAACACTTTAAATTTCATTATATTCTGGTAGTTTTGACCATATTTTTTATCAGAGTAACAAAATGTCACTATTATTGAAAATAAAAACATTTCCTTCCCTCTTTGGATAAAAAAATTGGAATCTATGATATCGTCAATCCCAGTGTTTACTAAAATTCGTAGTCGTTGTATAAATATAATATATAGAAAATGCCGTTCTTTTTTAGTATGCCTAGTCATTGTATAAATATAATATATTGGAAATACAGGCATTTTCTACAATTCTAAGTTATTGTATAACTATAATATATCAATAATGCAGGCATTTTCTAGAATGTCTAGTATTTGTATAAATATATCAATCAAAAATACCGGTATTTTCTAGAATGCCTAGTCATTGTATAAAATACCTGTATTATTAATCAAAGTATGAACTGCGAGAATTATTAAGCACCTTGCCTAGTTATTAATTAGAATTCCTCAGCATTGTATAGAATGACAAATGCTTTTTAAGGAAAACTATGAAATACAAAAATTAGTATTTAATTTGGCCATAAAGATTGCTATTGAGCATAATACCTTTAGTTTTTTCTTTATCAATTCTATAGAATTTCCCAGATCCCAAATATTAATCCCTTAATAATTTTCTGGTCGATTTTAATTATTCTATACAATGACTAAACGTTCAATAAAATACGGTATTTAATACATTGAAAGTTTTATAATAGTATAAATACTATTATAAGACTTTTTGTTAATACTCTTACAGTTTCTCCTAATTGTAACAATAATATTTAGCAGGAAAGGTTTTTCTTGACTATTCATTGAATGAATATAACCATCAAAAATATAAAAAATAAAAAAATATAAAATAAATTTTATGAAAAAAGAGTTATAATTTAATAGTAGTACACTGTGACCCATAGCTTAATGAACAACGTACTACATTTTTTTAATTCTAAATCATACGCATTTATTAAAAAACAGTTAAAATGTATACTTTTGAAAAATTTACGAATGAATTAAAGTTTTCAAAGCATATTCGGAAATTTTTTCAAGCAGATTGATTTTGAAATTTCTCAGAGGAAAGAAGCAAAACTTTCAAAAGAAGATCATAGTGTTCCACTCTCCATTATATTGAATTAAAAACTCAATTTTTTAAACACCTTTTGTCGATGCTCAAAAAGCATTTATATCTTATCTTCGAAACAACCAGTTGAGAAATGTAAAGCCATGTTTAATAACATGTATTTAGGCGAACATCTTATTTCTTCGACGACAACAAAAGCTTTCATCCAATGAATGTGCGACACAGAGAGGTATTCAATATTTACCTTCTAAGCATTGCTTTTTTTCAAAAGGAACTCAAGCGTAATATTTTTAGTAACATGACGTTATGAATAGAAATGATTCTAACAACAATGGTTTAATTTCCTCTTTTATTCTGAAAAACATATCTTTAATTACGAGTTTGAATGAAAAGGAAAAGAATAACCAAGTAAGTAAAATGTTTCTTTTCATATGTTAAATGCAATTAGAATGACTAAACAATTTTTTTTGTGTGTGTGTATTGTGACATTTCGTGTTTATTTCAATATACTTTATTCAGATTTAAATAAAAATTAATCAAATAAATATTATTTTTTGAAACTTTTAAGAATAATTAACTCGCCTGTAAGTAACAAAGGTGGGAGATATGAAGATGTTTTAAATAAATCAAACAAATCGCAAGAGGTATTTTTTGTCTTGAATTAATTTTGGAATTGCAAACAAAAATGTCTTAAATCATACACGGAGAAAGAAATTCTAGTAAAACTACCCTACTATATAATAATGACATTTCTAGTAAAAAATAATAATATTTCAGGTTAATACAATTTATATACATAGAATGTTTAAGCCACTCATTTGGTAATTTTTCCGTTCATATGGTAATGGTTCACAAAACATTCCGGTTTTCTGTAAAATTATGGTACTTATTTACATACATTTAGTAAAAAATTGAAAGTTTTAATTTAGTGAACAAGGGAAAGATTAATTTAAGTAGCTTAGCAAACCTTATAAGATTTGTCACTCTTTGTTTTACCTAAAATTTGCAGGCATGTTTTAAGAGGTAAAATAGAATTTAAGGCTTAATTAAGAATTCATATTTAATGACAAAGTTTCGATTTAGAGTAAAAATAAACAGTATTTTTATTTACCGATAAAGATAAACCTTAATCAAGAGTGAAGTATGCTTGAGTATTGATTCAACATTTTTCTAAGTTTTATATAAATACAATACCTTTATTATTTCCTTTTAGTAATAATATCAATACAAAAAATTCACTTAAAGATTTGATGGAAATTCATTTTACAAATTCTAATAAGGTGTGAAATTGTTTTACTTTATATATTAATTTTTTCCTTATTTTTAAATAAAAATGAAGCATTTTCTGATATTTTTGTACATAATTTTTAAAATAAATATTAAAATAGTAAAATCTTTCATCTATTTTATTGTGTTTTGTCAGGTATTTTGTAATTATTATAAATGTAATATTCAGTGCATAATATTGCTAAGAGTATGAATGATTCTTTTTGTTAGAACGTATAAAACGGTATCAATTCACTTATTCAATAAAATGCAGTTTCATTCAAAAATTAATTCATTCAATATATATCAATTACAGCAATTACAGCACATCACATTACATCAATATACAGCAATTTCAGTCATAATATGAGCTAAACTATTGTAATTTTCTTTAAAATATCAAAATGGAAAATAATTCTAACTTTTTAATTATAAAAATTAAAACCTCATCATACTCTAGAAAAAGAGGAAAATATCAGAAGATAATTAGAATAGAATATACAATATTTGAAAATGATACTTTAATAAATTAAACATCCCATAAAGAATGGGAGCGAAATTTAGAGATATATTATAAATATATTCAAGTCATCTGAATTTTTAAACATTTACAAGTCCACATTCTATGAATTCTTAAAATTTTAGAATTAATATTCAAACCATAAGATATAATTTTGCAAACAAATGTTCTTTTTATGCCTATTTAAACCGTATAAAAATGAAATTGTTGTAACTTCAGAATACTCTAGATATAGAAATAAAACAACGTAACCGTTTTAAAATTCTATAGTTATTTTTAAAAAACGTTAAAATTTACAACTTTGAAATTTTAACATTACACATATTCCAATACTACAATAGTTATAAATTAAAGTATTTTAGATAAATCCAAAATAATCTATAAAATAATAATTTAAAAAATACTAATTACATATTAATAAAAACTAATTACCAAATTAAATAAAAATCGGACTTACTGTTGAAACATATGCTTTATAAGTAAAAAGTTCAAAATTCAAGACAATTACCATTAAATTTTAAGACAATGTTAAAGAAGTTCATTTTTTTTAAATTCAACACAATTATAACACACAGTAGGAAATTTGGAATATTATAATTAGATTATAAACACAGTAGGAAATTTAGAAAATACTTGTTATCAATAAAAAATTATCTGTCATAAATTATAATTGAACCTACGGACACATTATGTCCTTCAAAAGCATTTAAAGTTCAAAAACATTCCATAAAAATCCCCATTAAGAGTAATAATTTAAGAAACAATCATTACATATTAATAAAAAAAAATCGATGATAAATAAAAAGTTGAACTTATTGGTAGAATTTATTCTTCAAAAGGATTTAAAGTACATGAAAATCTTTAAAACACTCTATAAAAATAACAACTTAAAGAACATCCATTGCATATTAACTTACAGATACAAAATCACTTAAAGTTTAAGAAAATTCATTTAAATGCTCCGTAATAATGATAATTTAAAAAATGCTTAGTACCTATGATTAAAAAAATAAGGATGATTAATTCAAATCGAACTTATCAATACCATTTATCTTTCTAAAGCATTTGAAATGCAAGACAGTTCCATATAAATACTACATAAAACAACAATTTAAAAAATAATTATTACATACTAATAAAAAAAGTTATTTATGATAAATTAGAATCGGACTTACGGTCCTTCTGGCCTTACGGACTTCTTTTTTTAAAAAACACGTCTTTCAAAATTATAATTTGAACCATAATTTTTACATATTAATAAAAAAAATTATGGATGTTAAATTGAAATCAGTATTACTAATAAAAAAATATCCCTTTGAAAGCTAAGGAATAAGACAATTTTTTTAAATCAACTTTAAAATTAAGGATTTTAAACATGCTTATTAAATATTAATAAAAAATTATCGAGGAGAATTGAAATTGGCCTTATTGATACAATGTATCATTCAAAAGCATTTAATGGGCAAGTCTTTAAAAATAGAATGATTTTAAATATACTTTTTATATATTAATAAAAAATTATAGATGATAAATTAAAATAAGACTTACTAATACAATATATCTTCCAAAAGCTAAAGAATAAGACAATTGTTTTTAAATCCTTTTCAAAAATAAAGATTACTTATTACAGATCAATAAAAAATTGCTGATGATAATTAAAATCATATTTATTGATACAATATATACTTCAACAGTTGAAGTATAAGACAATTTTTAAAAATTCTCCTTAAGAATTACAATTTAAATTGTTTTTATTGCATGGTAATAAAAACAATATGTATGATAAATTACGAAATCTGATTTATTGATGCATTATATACTTAGAAGTTGAATTATAAAATAATTTTTAAGAATTATCTTCAAAAATTATAATTTAAATTGTATTTATTACATGTTAATAAAAGTGATATCTATGATAAATTACGAAATCAGATTTATTGATACAATAAATCTGATACTGAACCTTCAAAGGTTGAAGTATAAGACAATTTTTTAAATTATCTTTAAAAAATTATAATTTTAAATTATATTTATTGCATGTTAATAAAAATAATATCTATGATAAATTACGAAATCGGTTATTGATACAATATATATACTTCAAAGGCTGAATTATAAGACAATTTTTAAAAATTCTCTTTAAAAATTATAATTTAAATTGTATTTATTACTTGTTAATAAAAATAATATCTATGTTAAATTTCAGAATAGGATTTATTGATGCAATATATAATTCAAAAGTTGAAAAAACAATTTTTAAAAATTATAATTTAAATTGTATTTATTACATGTTAATAAAAAATGATATATATGATAAGTTACGAAATCGGACTTACTGATACAATATGTATACTTCAAAGGTTGAAGTATAAGACAATTTTAAAAAATTCTCCTTAAAAATTATAATTTAAATTGTATTTATAAAAATAATATCCATGTTAAATTTCAAAATAGGATTTATTGATACTACAGCATATAATTCAAATATTGAAGTGAAAAACAATTTTTAAAAATTATAATCCAAGTTACATTTATTACATGTTAATAAAAAATAATATATAAGATAAATTACGAAACCGAACTTACTGATACAATAGACATACTTTAAAGGTTGAAGTATAAGACAATTTTAAAAAATTATCTTTAAAAATTATAATTTAAACTATATTTATTACATGTTAATAAAAATAATATCTATATTAAATTTCAAAATAGGATTTACTCGGATTTTAATAGGATTACAATATATGATTCGAAAGTTGAAGTAAAAAACAATTTTTAAAAATTACAATTTAAGTTGTATTTATTACATGTTAATAAAAAATAATATATATGATAAATTACGAAACCGAACTTACTGATACAATATATATACTTCAAAGGTTGAAGTATAAGACAATTTTTAAAAATTTTCTTTATAAATTTTAATTTTAATTGTATTTATTACATGTTAATAAGAATAATATCTATGTTAAATTTCAAAATAGGATTTATTGATACAATATATATTTCAAAAGTTGAAGTGAAAAACAATTTTTAAAAATTATGATTTAAGTTGTATTTATTACATGTTAATAAAAAATAATATCTATGATAAATTACGAAATCGGACTTACTGATACAATATATCCTTCAAAAGCATTTAAAGTGCAAGAAAGCTCTGCATATCCTCTCATCAAGGCAGCATTTCCTTCTCCTAAATAAGTCCCTGGATACAATTCATCTCCTGATCTCTGTTCTATCTGCCATCTTCCCTGATTAGGCCAGGGGTAGTAAGTAGACCCCACAATGCCACACAGAAGAAGGATTGACAGCGATGAAAGTAGCATGATTGACGAATGATTTGGAGAGGAGAGCTTAGGGCATCTTTTATACGACGCTAAAAGCACGCGTTTTCTCACTTTTCACGCACGGTAGGTTTCCAGTTATTGTGTGTATATATAATAAGTGTTTGTCAAGATCACGGAAGTACATACCGTGTGTCTTCAACTGATTTTTTTTCTTCTCCTGATGATCTTCAAAGTGGTTTTGATTTATCATCACTTTCACTGTTTGCAGGAGAAAGTAAATAAGTTTACCTTCAGGTACTTTTAGAGATGAGCTATTTCAGAGAAACTTCTTAAGAAGTTTAATAACTGGAAAAATGAATGACTTTGAACTAAACAAAATCTAAACTGTAGAGTCTAAAATATTTAATGAACTTATTATAATATATATATATANCCACCCGCGCACTGACCGCAGCCAGTGATGCTTGACTTCGGTGAGTTGCATGTATATATATATATATATATATATATATATTGCACAATAAGGACAAGAAGGATTTAAAATAAAGAGAAAATTTGGAAAATAATAATGAAATAATGAATAATGAAAATAGAAAAAGAAATATTATTAAAATAAAAAATTACTTTTTAAAAATATTAAAAAAACAATTATGTATCTTAATTTTATTTTTAAACTTACGTATCTTTTTTTTTACATAAAAAAATTCACTTAAAAAAAACTTTTTTTTTCCTTTTTTTTTCAAGTGGTGCACACTATTGTATTGATATATTTTGCTTTGGCTACATTGATACAATATATTAGAAAACACTCTTTTTTGGGAATATAATCGTGTGAGCTGATGAAGAAATTATATCTTTTCTTTATTTTGTTTTACAAATTTCGAATAACTTTTTTAATTTAAGAATTCATAAAAAAAAATTTAATATCTTAAGAAGTAATTTAATTTTAATAATTTTTCTTCCTCTCTTTTCATTAATCTATTATTCATTATATATATATATATATCGAACATTTTGCGCAGTGATCATCTAATTGAGACACTGCTAAAATTTTCTCTAAAAAAATGGTTAAATAACAATTTATTTAAATGCTATATTGCCCTATTCTTACAAAGCAATCAAATTACCATAAATAGGATGGTATTCAAACTGTTCACTATGAGAAAAACAGTTTATTAACAGCTTTCACTCCATACAGTGAAGTAACGAGAATTTTATCGCATGAACTAGAACAACCTAATAAAGCCACTTAGTACCTTGCAGCTGGGTATATATTATAGCCGAGAGGGCTAATCCGTCAATATCATGACCTACAGAACAGGGGTTCGAGTCCACACATTATTTCCTCCATTCCCTCCAATACATAAAGAGTTCTAGCGTCCTACTTTTCCCAATTTGTGACCCTGAACTGTTAGAATACGATTATCTCATTCTTGCATAAATAGCTGCACCATAAAAGATAAACCATCTCCAATGTCTAGTAGAAATTTGCGGATTTGAAACCTTGCTAGTTGTAAATGGTTAAAAAAACATAGAGTTTAGTATTTATGATCTTTTAACCACATTAGTTGTAAACAGTTTTAAAACTGTATAAATAAAAAATGTTCTTTACTGTAAACTCTATGGCTAAATGGATGGACAGGCTGCTGTCGGTTATTTTCAACTGCTTTCACCTAATGCGGTTAAATAAACAGAGTCTTATTGCACCAATTGAAGTTATTTAGTTTTTTGCAACTGCGTACATATTACAGCTGAGAAGGCTAATCTGTTAGTTTCATAACCGAAAGAACTGTGGTTCAAGTCTCAGCGTTGACTCTATAATGTTTTCTACACTCCCTTCAACACGTGAAAAGTTTCCAGTGTTCTGTGCAATCCCCAATTTGTGTCCTGCACTCTCCAATGCCTTCTATTACCTGACAAAAAGTCTGGCTCCACTTAGTTTCCTACAATTGCGCATATATCATAGCTGAGAGAGCAAATTTGCCAGTCTCATGAACTACAAAACTGGGGTTCGAGTCCTAGCGTTGACACCACAATTTTTCGTCCAATCCCTTCAACACATGAAGAGTTTCCAGTTTCCTGCATTCTCCAATTTGTGTCCTGCACTCATCAATGTCCTTTACCTAACAGAAAGCTTAGCTCCTATGTCCAGTTGAATTTCTTTTTTACTGTTTTGAAACCACGCTAGTTGCAAATGGTTAAAAAAACAGTACAGTTTTGTATTTATGGTTTTATATATTTGCAAGTAGTAAACGGTTTCAAAACCATAAAAGCAAAAAAATGTTCTTTACCGTAAACTTTACGGTTAATTGGATGGACAGACTGCTGCTAGTTATTTTTAAATAGTTTTAGAATGAAAATTCGAACAGTGTATTTATAGGACCGGAAATTATAACTTTTATTCATAGCAATATGAAAATGGTATAATTTCCAATAGAGAAAATATTTTCGTAGATATTGCTCAGGAAAATTTATTGTACGTTTGCACCATATATTTTTTTATTATTAGATTTTGTAAAAATAAATTTAAAAATTCTAAAAGAAATTTGGATTGACTGCTTGGAATAGAATTATTAACGTAAGGCTTTGCTATGAAGTGGAAAAATATAATATGTACTCTTAATATATACTCTTAAAAATAGAATGGAGAACTCTTAACAGCGGACTTAATAATTTATTAAATTTTAAATATTATGTATTAGTATAGATTCTGTTAAACGTAAGATATTTTGAAAATATTTTACTACAATGACGTAAATAAAATGAAAATTTTTTTAATTCTCAGATTTAAATTTGAAATCAACTATGTACGTAATTTATATTCAATAAAATCTAGCCATATCTTAACACTTAAGCTTCTCAATACAGGGTGAAAATATTTTATTTTATTGCAATGTTCCTTATTTCCAAGCTTGCTTGAAATCAAGCGAATTTTTAAGGCAGAGGATGAGTTTCCTGTTTTTTCAGTGGCGCCATCTATGGCCAAGAATACGACTTCAAACACACATACACGCCACAGACCGTTTTTCAGCGAGGACGCATTCATACATACATTTATCCAAGGCTATTCGTAATTTTGACCTTAACCAGAAAACGATCAATCTCCAATCCATTACCCCCTGAGGTATAATTTGTAATGAACTTCGCAGTCTTGTAATTTTGAATCAATCCGGAACACAAAGAAACTCCCGGATCAATACCCCCAGAGGTAGTGATTTGTTATGGGAACCTGGAGGACTTTGCGACTCGACAGATTCAACGTGCATCAGTCACCATTTATTACATGGGGAGTCTTCGGTCGGTGGGGATCGAACCCATGAACTCTTGGACATGAGCCCAGTGCCCTACCACCCAGAGTGTCCTAGAGGACTTTGTAATACGACAGATTTAACGCGCACCAGATGCCATTTTCTACAAGGTTTGTCTTCAGCCGGCTGGATTTGAACTGCCGTCCAGCGTCCTACCAACCAAGATGATCCCGGCCGTTGTTCTTTATACTTCTTTAAATGCTAAGCCAATAAAACAAAACTAGATAATAAAAACGTAGCATTGCATTTACTAATTTTTTGGAAACAAATTTAATATGAGAGTAATACAAATGTAACACATTTTTTTCGAAAGATATCTTCGAATTTTATTCATTATGATTTTAATAACTTTAAAAAATATCAATATAATTCCTTATTTCTAAATTTTTGTTCATTTTACTGCCATATTAATTAAGTTAGAATAGTTTTACAGCATCAGATTTCTGAATTTTCATGCCCTTCTCTAGAACGGGCACTTCTCCTTAGCGAACATTTTTCTCCCTCTTGAAGGTTCTCATTTTAATTAATATTAATTAAAATTCAGCATAAAAGTAAAACATGTTGTGCCTAAACAGCTATTTCAGCTTCATTATTAAAAAAACTGATGGAATACATGGATTCTTCGAAACTAGATACAGGATTAATTTTATGGTTACTATAATTCCTAATATGGTTGAGTCGAACATAAATGGATGGTCGGTACCGGATACACAGTAAAATGTATCGAGTCCGGGTACCCGAGTACCGGGTTTTGAGATTAAAAACTGGGTCCAGGTTCCCAGTACGGGGTCCTGAGATTACAAACTGAGTCTGGATACGTGGTATCGAGTAGTAACCTTTTTTACCGAATCCGGGTAATAATAAGGTAAAGAAAATCTGTCCAAGTAGGCCGACCCGGTTCATCTCTAGTAAAGACATATTTAATATTTTTACTCTCCCTACATATCCCACTGAAATTGGTCTTGAGGAAAGAAATTTTTATCATCCAATTTTACCATCAATGCTGAATAATTTTGAAAATTTTACTGTGACAATTTAAGTAAGTATACGCATAAATTATGAAAGCTAACAATTCCAGTTTTATTTTTATATTACTGTAATTACTGATTGTCATTTTCTTAAGCAAAAAAAGCTGTAATGATTCAGTATTACTTATTTCTAGTGTAGTTGAAAGAAATAAATGAAGACATTTGTCTTGAGAGTAGAAACATAATAACTTTTGTTCATTTAATTTTACCATCAATACTGATTAATTTTTAACAGTTTACTTTTACAATTTTAGTAAACATATGCATAAATTATGAAAACTAACAATTCCTGTTTTATTTTGATATTACTTTAACTACTTGTTGTCTCTTTTTATAAGTAAAAAAAAAGGTTGTAATGATTCAGTATTACTTATTTCTAGTGTAGTTGAAAGAAAGAAATGAAGACATTTGTCTTGAGAGTAGAAACATAATAACTTTTGTTCATTTAATTTTACCATCAATACTGATTAATTTTTAACAGTTTACTTTTACACTTTTAGTAAACATATGCATAAATTATGAAAACTAACAATTCCTGTTTTATTTTGATATTACTTTAACTACTTGTTGTCTCTTTTTATAAGTAAAAAAAAAGGTTGTAATGATTCAGTATTACTTATTTCTAGTGTAGTTGAAAGAAATAAATGAAGACATTTGTCTTGAGAGTAGAAACATAATAACTTTTGTTCATTTAATTTTACCATCAATACTGAATAATTTTGAACCATTTACTATTACAATTTTAGTAAATATACGCATAAGTTATAAAAACTAGCAATTCCTGTTTCATTTTGATATTACTTTAACTACTTATTGTCCTTTTTTATAAGCAAAAAAAAAAGCTGTAATGATTCAGTATTTCTTATTTCTAGAGTAATTGAAAAGAGAAAAAAAAAATGAAGGAGAAATTTCCAGAAAAAAAATCTAAACCTCTTAGAGACAGCAATGACTACGCACAGTTTACAAAAGAGACAATTCTTTGAGGAAAAAAAATCTCCCAACAACAAACATCCCAAAAACTAATTAAACAGCAGCACGAACGGATGTTTTGCCTTTTAGCACCGCATGAAAACCATCATCTCTTGTTGATTACTGTATTTTGTTTTGACACTACAACAATCTCCATCTTAATTTCCATGGAAAGAAGAGAAAGGATTGTATGGTCAAGAGAAAAAAATAATTGAAAAGGTCAAGATATAGATATCCGGATCATTATATATGCAGAATGAATATGCAAGGACTTTCTCTTTCACCTTTGGAGGTCAACAAGTTGTAATGAATGTAAGAGACTGCTAATTAGGTATGAGGCGAAATCGTCTCCCTTTTATGTCAACAGGATCTGGAACCCTTCTACCATGCTTCAACGCGCTCCTCTTCTTTTGTGGTCAGATCATACGTATTTATCAAGGTGAAGAGAGTAAATTTTGATTTAGACACTTAAACTTCAATAATTCATCGTGAATTGGCTTTCGAGCAAGCAAAAGAGGACATATTTTAAATATCGCTTTTAATATTTGAATTTTGTTTGAAAGGATTTGGTATGAAAGTTGATGTGTTTTGAAATTCAAAGAGCTGAAACTTTCAGACATTTTAAATTGAGGTATTTTTGACAAGATAAACTGTGTTATATGAAATGGATGAAAAGACGTTAAATAGAGCGAAGTGTTAGCTTTCTCTATTTTTACATAAAATAAAATTAGGTTTTTTTTTCTAATTTATTAACAGAAATCGTGAAAAATTGTTTATTGATTAACAGTTTTTAATAACTTTGGATTTTCAGCCCATTTAAAAACCCATCCATATTTTATAACCCATTTTTGGCCAAAGGTGTGTTAACGCTATATTTCAATAAATATTTTTTGTTATCACAGTGATGTATATTTTTCACTAATTTTATTTTTCTGCTATTTTCAAGCGTTCTGAAGACATTTATAAAATATTAGTAATTCAATTATTAAAGTAAATACTTTCAGTAAGAAATATTCAAACGCCGCTAGTTTTTACCCAATGGTAAAATGGGTGTTATATTGGGTTTGATGGCGTGCGCACCTTATTTGGACGTCATCACACTTTACAACTGAGTTCAAGAGCAATAGTAAACAGTGCGCAAGCGTCGTCGTTGCATGCTTTGCTATGATGACCGCTGCTGTGTGATAATTTGTTTAGAATTCTTTTTTTAAATATTGTCTTAAGTTAAAACTTTAAAATGAACTGAACAACTTCGAAACCATAATCTCAAAAATAGAATTGCACAAGTCATAAAAAATAAGGCTAACAAAAGAATTAATAAAAAAATCAACACAGCAAGATCAAATAAAAAGAAAGCAGATGATAGTTTTAGAATTTCTAGGAGTTGATTGTTTTATTTTCTCAAAAAAAAAATTGGCTTTAACCCTAGAAAATTACTCGCTTGGCATCGAACGCTAAGACGCAAGAAGCTCGAAAAAAATCTGAAAAAAGTAGAAAATTTGAAACAGCATCTTCCATACATGTAGATTATTTTACGAATCCACAATTAAAAAATAGAATGAAAAATATAGCCCTTAAATCGCGTCAATGCATAATTTTATTCACAATACTTAGGTTATAAATACTGTTAATGAGTGTCACAACCCTGTTAATGAATTTATTTATTTTTCTGAGCCAACTCAAGTAGAAAATAAGTATTATTTTATGGTTTTGTAACTTTTTCAGTATATTGTTGCTAGCTGAATATTCGTTCATCTTACGGGTTGAAAAAAGAAACCAAATAATCAATAAATCGATAATGATCAACACTACGAAATTATGCACACAAAAAAGTGAAACAGATATACTGACACAGTTAAAGCTACTCCAGTTTCTTTCTTCTTATTATTTACTGCTCTTCTCGGTGGCTTTACGTTATTAGATTAAGAAAAACATGATTTTAGAAGTTCATTCTATTTAAATTAAGATTAACGATGTTCAGTATCATTCGGCGTAATGCTATTGCTCGGCGCCAACATCTGATAGTTAAAAATTACCATAATCAACCATTTTCTCCAGTATTTATCCCATTCGATAAGCCATAAAAATCTATTTCCACAGTGCATATAGCAGATATCGTGGTACCTATATTAATATAATACTTTGAATTCGTGTTACAAACTTTAAGGGTAGGTACAGGACATAGTGACAATCATTCATTGTTTAGGCGCAAGTGACGAAGTGAGGCGCAAACACAAAAAATAAGGGACTAAAGGAAAGACAAAGTCCTTATTGAAAGCGTCGTTGACAAGTGTAATGTTTACAATAACTGTGCAAAATTGCGTCCACCAGTAGCGATACATTCTTGACAGCGTTGGTGGAGTAATTTGCGTAGACGTTCAAAGATGCCAGGTATCTTACGTACACGTGCAGCAGCTTTGGATATTCAAGCAAACGAATTCCTCATCTGAGTGAAGTGGAAACTCAAAATCAAGATTCGTCAAATGTCGCCACAAAACGAAATCGAGGCTCCATAAATCGGGAGATCGGGGAGAACAAGAGAACTGGTCTACCATGCCTAATCCATCGCACCCCAAACATGGCATTCAGGTAAGTACGCACATCATTGCTGAAGTGGGCTGGCACCTCATCATGCTGAAACCACTGCGGTCACGAATGGCAATCGAAACATCCTGCAGTAGTTCTGGTAATACCTGTTCCAGAAAAATAAGATAACATTCGCTATTAAGTCACGTCGGTAGTAAGTATGAGCCAATCAAAAAATTGCTGACAAAGCCAGCCCACACATTCACATAAAATCATTGTTGATATGAATGTGGTTGCATTACATATGGATTCTCAGTTGCCACACATGGGAATTGTGCACTTTAAAGACACCCTTGCGTGTAAACGTCACCTCATCTGTAAATTTACTTGAAGCAAAATGAGCTATGAAGTCCGGCTGCAACGCTCATTGCTGTACCTCCCACTGGCAGAAGTTCAAGTGGAGAGGATAGTCTGCCGGATTCAAAGCTTGTACTTGCTGAAACTGGAAGGGATGAAAGCGTTTTTCGTTTAACACTGTGAAGTTCGCTTCTTCCTCGATCTTCGTTTAACACTACAAACGGTGGCCACACACCTACGTGATGAGCAACAGCTCTTGTACTTGACTCAGGTCTACAACGTTCAAGATACCTTCCTCCAGACTTGGACTGCGTACATCTCTTCGTCGACCAACATCACGTCTGGGGACGTGGACCGAACCTGTTTCGCCAAGTTGACGATGCAACCGCTGAAAAATTCAGCTATCCGACATTCGTCGATCAGGAAACTGCTCGTCATACATTCGTAGTGCAGTTTGCCCTTACCATTTGCACGGCCGTACATGCAATTGACAACTGAATATGCCATGCATCAATTGATTTTACCGATAACTATTTTCTTCCCTAATCATCCGTGAATTTTCGGCTTGCTCTTGATACTGTAAATCTTGAAAATAATTGTTGCCTGGCGTTTTCGGCAACTGAATATAACAAGCCTCAAGTGATTTTGCCGATAACTATTTTTTTCCCAATCAGCCGCGTATTCTTGGTATGCTCTTGATACTGTAAATCATGAAAATAATGGTTCTCTGGCGTTTTCGGCAACTGAATATGCCAACATCAATCGAATTAACAGATAACTATTTTTCCCCAGTCATCCGTGTACCACAGTGCTGACATAAAATATCCTCAGTGGTAGTTAGATCATGATTTAGAGTCCCCTTTCCGTCAAGCTAACCGTGGGAGATTTTCGTGGTCTTCCTCTTTGTGAAACGCAAATGCGGGTTAGTTCCATTAAAAAGTCCTCGCGAAGGCAAATATCTCCGAATACTTGATCCAGGTGTTTCCTTGTCTTCTGAATCGGGTTCAAATTTACAAGGCTACGGAGTTGATAATTAGTAGTTATAAACCCTAAAAATTGGGTCGGCTGTTCAACGACGATTATAAAATAAAATAAAATGGGTACCAGTTTGTCTGGGAAGTAAAGGTGGCCTGTCTGCAGTGCTGACCACTTTACCTCAATCATGCCGTTGGCCTTGAAATTGTATAGCTTTAACCTCTATGACAATCCTGGCCCTCAACGGGCAGTTATGGAAATGCTCTTACTTAAGTGTGGTTAAGAGTGCTAATTGAAATAACTAAGGGCAAGTTAATCTTTTATTTCGAAAACAATTGATTTTTTCAAATTGGAATAAAACATATATTTTAAAACATTTATTTTATTTAGTTAAAAGGGTGCAATAATCCTTTAATAAAATTCAATTATTTCAAAGTACATATTTTCAATTGAAAATGATTGCAAGAACGAATCATTTCTTTATAATTTAACTCCTTTAAATCACTACTATTTTTCTATGTTTTTTTTTTAGAAAAAATTGAAATACTTTATTTCAATAAATTCTAATAACAAAGCTAGTATCTTTAAAATCAGTAATAGTGCATAAATAAACACGATATAAATTGTGGAAAGAAAATATTAGATAAATATTAAACGTGATTTATTTTTTAAGTAAAAAATATGTTCAGGTGCTCTAAAGCAAATAGAAACGCTTAAAATAATATTTAGTCAGCTGATAACGTAAAAAAAAAAACATTTAGAGAATTACTTATAAAAAGAAGTTATATATACTTCAAAAAATCGCTCAGCAATAAAATAAAATGATTTCATCATTTAAAACTAAGTCAAAATTTTATCGTAGGTAATATTTAACCCTTTCATTTTTAGTATTTTTTGACATCTGAGTTCGATATCTTACAGTCAGTCATTGTAAACTGAATTACGATTACTGACAATTACTGAGATCTTACAGTCAGTTACTGAAAACAATACACGCATAATTTCTATCACCAGTTATTCTTTTAATTGTTGCATTCTAAAATGTTATTAAAAATGATGTCCCGACTTATTATTATATTCCTACCATCAGTATGGATGATGCACTTGGTAAGTATTTATTTAATACTAGAGGTTGCGCTCCCTGTTCGCGGTCACTCCCCAACCCCAATGATTGCTTCGCAATAATTGTTTCTTGGCATAAATAATTTTTTCTACAAAAGTTGAAATTATTCTCTTAAAGTATCTTTACTAGAAAGAATTCTGTTTGCTAAAGCTTGTGCACCCACTTCCTACATCGAAAAAATTTTCCTAATGATTCTATTTAGATTCATTAGAATAAAAAAATTTAATAAATTATTTTAATAATATAATAATAACAATGATAATAAATAATTTTTATTAATAATCTTTCTAAAAAATAACAGTTGTATACGTTACTAATGTCATTTGCCAATATCAGTAAATATCAGAAATCAAGCGAATTTTTAAGACAGGAGGGGCTTTCTTGTGGTGCCATCTATGGCCAAAAAAACAATTTCAGTCACTCACACACGTCACAGCCTGCTTTAAAAGGGGGTGGGGCGAATCATACCAGATCGAAATTTTGACCTGAACCAGAGAACGATCAATCTCCAATTCAGTACTTTACAGAGGTATTGACTTGTTATGGGAAATTGGAAGACTTGGTGACCCATACAGATTTAACGTGCACTAGTCACCATTTAATACACAGCGATTCTTCGGAAAGCGGGATTCTAACTCTCGTTCTCACGAACACGAACCCAACGTCCTACCAATCAGGCTATCCCGGTCCCAAAATAACATTTAAAATTAATGGTATCTACTAAATAAGATAACTATAAAACGCATCGTATTTAATATACAAACTGATATATCAAATAAGATTTGTGAATGAAGCTGGTAGTTAAAAATCCTTAATCTCTTTAACTGTAATTTATATTAATCTGTTGATGTAATTTACACCAAAAAATAATTATTGCAAAGACGGTTAATAAGCTTAGAAAAAGATTAAAATAAGTTTGTCTTACAATGTAGCTTATTAAGGTAATATCATGGAATTGCGTTATAGAAAGAAACAACTCTTTCAGTTTTAAACTCTAATTAGAATTTAAAAAAAACATAAATATTACAAGTACAAACCTTTTAAGCAGCAATATAAAAATATTATAGACAGTGTTTCACTTGAATAGTACTCATACGGTCTAATCTGATAATTAACAAAATATATTTATAGACTGTGCTTAACTTGAATAGTACTCATACGGTCTAATCTAATAATTAAAAAATATATTTATAGACAGTGTTTCACTTGAATAGTACGGATACCATCTAATCTCATAATAACAAAATATTTTTCTTATTTTGACACTATCAGAGAATAACTAATTTAAAGATGACTTTGGTGTTTGCCTCCGTAACCTTATCATATTGAATCTAACTCAGAAAACCGAGAACTCCTAAATTACTTTCTCATCTATACTCTCTGTGTAAAAACTAATTTCATTTATATGATGTCGAAGCTATAAAAATATCTCTTAATTAATTTAATAATAACGAAAATCTAGCCAAAATCCATTGCTTTGCTATATTAATACAAACTGGGAAATTGAACGAACCGAAACTCTCGAAACGGAGCGTCTGAACTGAGATTATGACTTGTCTCGACTTTCTTTCCTTTCCTTCCAGACGCGGATACGTACCTAGGTTAGTAAAACCCTTACCCGTATAATCCGCGTCTGGCCACTACTTCCAGTCAACCTCAATCAATTATTTAAAGTTTCAAAAGAAAGAAGGTTAAAATTACTTGTCTCGACTGTATGAAATACGACGTTTCCATTCCTAGGAACCTACAACAACAGCATAAACAAACGTATATTTTATTTTAAAACCGGCTTTGTACAGTCGAGTTTACGACTACCAATGTTCAACTCCAGAGAATTGCAATTTTGAATCCAATCCAGGAAACAAGGGAACTACTAGATCAAGTATTAGGAAAAATTAGCCTTCATTTAGAACTTTTCGATGGAGCTAAGGCACCTTTGTGTAATATGGAGAGGAAAACCACGAAAACCTCCAAATGGTTAGCCTAATAACAAGGGAACTCTAACCCATGATCCGTCTACCAGTGAGGATATTTTACATCAGCACTGTTGTCGATGCGAGCCGGGTGCGAAATTCGTATCGACTGGCCATCGCTACGATTCGAACCCAGATCCCCTTATTAAGTGGCGAATGCTCTATCCCCTGAGCCACCACGGCGTAAACAGACTTAAAGTTGCAAATTTAATTTTTGTAAACAAAAATTCAAAATTTGAGAAAAATACTAAACATTTTTATATATTTTAGAGATCCAATGTTACGCCCCTAAATGTTGATGTTAAATCTAACACAGATGATGTTCAAGATATTGCACAGAATGACATTCCTATTCTGGAGAAGATACTCGAAAATGATGCTCATTTGATGAAATCAGTTGTAATAAGTCATGCCTCTATGCCAGATTATCAAGTCATATATCCTGACAATACCAAGCAAGAAAATATGAGAAAGAAGCCTGGGAAAGAATATGAGCGGATGATAAAAACGAAAAAACTAACTGAAGCCGCTCGTTTGTGCATATCTAAAAATCAAGACACTTTATTTCAGTGCATGGATAATACAAACGAGAGTTATGCTTGCCTGCACCCACTTACTGATGAAATAGGGGAATGTGGAAATAATGGTGCACATAATAGACCAATATCTTTGTGCATCATAAAGGTAAGTACATGTATCTTCAAATTGTATATCCTTTAAGCCAGCGTCACATATATCGATAAACCAAAGGCTCATACCGAATGTGCCAAAGATGACTGACGATTCGCTGATTTTTGCTTAGGAAACCAGAAAACTGCTTCCGCACTGATTTCAAAGTTAGTTACAAAGTTTGTCAATAGAGGGTACTACGCTGCTATCAAAGTTTTAGTCAAGAAGAGACATAAAAATTGTGTTCATCGTATGCACCACTCAGAAGAGTCAATCTGTTTATTTTTCAAAATTTAAAGCAATCGATTCACACTGCTTAGTCTTAGAGATAAAAACTATTACAATTTTAGTGGTTTATATTATTGGCGAGAATAAGTGGGGTATTTCTCATCCAAAGCCAATGTAGACATTGAAGTTTAAAGCTTTTAGAGATTTGAGAGACCGACAATATATTACAAATGGAAAATAATGCTATTGAAACCCTATGCCAAACAATATATCCAAAGATTTGTAACTTGTGACAGTTATTTTGTTTATTATATGCAATATGAACACAAAATTTTGTAAGTCTAACTAAAATATTTATGGATATATGGACATTTTTATTTTTAAAAAAAAAATTTTTTGCCTTAGGTTTTTTCTTTCGTTTTTTTTTTCCTTTTCTTTTTTTTTTGCTATAAGTTTAAAAATATTCGATAAATTTAAAAAAATTTTGTAGAGCGATTTAAAATTATTTATAGAATTTTTGCATAAAAATTGGGAGAAAAATTCGTTTAAAACAGTAAAGACAGAAAGTAGTTCTGTTATACTGCGAATGCACGGGAAAAATTGAAGAAAAAAATATATTTTTTTAATTTTGTAGTAAATCATATACGTAAACTTGTCACCTAACTAAAAAAGTACGATTTAAATATCTTAAAAATTTAAAAAGTTTCAAGCAATTTTCTAAGTAGTCTTTGTACTTTTTATAAGAAACTAAAAATGATAAGGTGTTTTCTACAAATATTATTTTGTATCAATAGACAAAATTGAATGAAAAGTGATAATGCCTTACAATAAACGTTCATACACCGAAATATGATTGCATACACCGAAATATGAAGAATACATTCGAAAGAAAAGATACTGATATGGGAACTATACCCGACAATGCCGTTGTCATTTTTAATAAAACTTGCTTAATAGTACAATATGAAATTTGTGGAAAACCCCTGATCATTTTGAACTTTCTTTTTGAAAGTACCAAATTAGTTACCAAATACAATTCTATAAAAATTTAAGAAAAAATAAATTCTCTAATTTTTCCCGCGCATGTGCAGCATTAGACAATTACTGACATCTCAGTGATAAGATGTTTCTGCATAATGTGCTTCTATAACTTGTATAATACATATCAGGACACAATGCTATAATTTTACATGAAATTTTAACAGTTTTATGTTTTATTATATTTTAACAGTTTTTTGTTAGCAAAGAAATTGTGGTTCTTCACTATATTTACCCTATTTCTTCATTTCCAAACCGAGTACTGTTCGTTCTGATATCGTTGTTGTTGTTGTTAATTTACGTCGCACTAGAGCTGCACAATGGGCTATTGGCGACGGTCTGGGAAACATCCCGGAGGATGATCCGAAGACATGCCATCACAATTTTGATCCTCTGCGGAGGGGATGGCACCCCCGCTTCGGTAGCCCGACGACCTGCGCGCGAAGTCGAGCACTTTACGGTAGCACAGTTTAACGAGGACCAATACCGCACACCCTCGGTCCCTACGCAGACTGATCCAAGTGGTCACCCACCCGCACACTGACCGCAGCCAGTGATGCTTGACTTCGGTGTCGTTCTGATATCCGATGACCTTCAAAGTAATTGCGTCAACGAATATGCGTCAGAACTTTTTTTTTCCCCATATATATATCATTAAATAAAAGTGAGAGAAGTAAAAGGAGTTTTGAGCAAGGGAACTGTTGGAGGATAAAATAATGTTACAATTTAAGAAAAAAATTATAATTCTATATAAAAAAAAAAAGAATTTATTATTACTAAATCATTATTTTACCGTTTTAGGGACAATGGAGCCTTGTTGCATCATGCAAAAATTTCTCAACAGATATCTGTCCAGATCTATCAACAAATTTCAATCATGGGAAAACCGAGAATGAGTGCTTTCTCGAAAACAATAACATTTGTAACAGTAACTGCACTTTCGGAATCATTCACAAGTTCAAAAGACCTGAACTTCGAATTTCTACTTCAAACAACTCCGTGACACGTTTTGAAAGAGATACCGAATACGTAGGAAATAATACAAAAAGAGTGACTTGTATTAAGTGCCAACTAGACATCAGACTTGATATCGAAGAAGTTGCACCAGGTGTGGCCCCGAAAATTAAGATATCTGTGAAAGAAACGAAACTGAATGTATCTCAGGAACATTTCGATTACGAGTTGAGAGAAAATTGAATTTTCTATTCAAATGTGGCAGTATGCATGATACACAAGCCAGTAATTATTGTCAGATAAAATAAAAACAAGTTCTAGTTCAAGTATCCATGTAACAACATGTATAATTACTTAAAATAAAATCATTTTATTGAACTGCATTATCCACACAAAAAGAGTACACTAAAAATGGGATAAAAACATTTTTACGAATAAGAGAATTAAAATGTGAAATAAAGGGTTTAAAACTGATAAGAAAATTTTATATTTGTATTATTGAAAAAATACTTATAACAGGAACAAAAAATCACAAATCCAGTCTCGATGTAATAAATTTTATGGGAATACAACAACAAGAAACGCAATTTTACAGTTATAAATTAAGTACAAAATAAGATCACGACACTAAATTAGAAAGGACGTTCCATAAAAACAAAATAAAATCATTAATAAAAAATAAAATCATTGAAAAAAAATCGAGAAACATATTTAAAGTGAAAAATAAATCATTCTTTTTCAAAATATTCTCTCAAATATTTCTAATGATGCTGCCATCTAGTGAAAATTAAGAGACCTAAAGGTTTAAGGTTTCTTTTTCTTCTTTTAAAATCGTTCATAAATAAAATTTAATATAACTCCTGCGCCATTAAAAAAGTTTTTGCTTTTTATATTGAGAAAAAAAGGTACATAATATTTTTTTACAAATTTGAAATTTTATAATTACTCCCTGGTATTAAATCTTTAAACAAAAAATATAATTACCTAACTCTGTTGCACTAATTGATGCCTTTCAGTTTTATGCAAGAATTCGTAGCATTGATCTATACAGATTTTTTGATTAGTTACAATCACTCAGTAGTTGTTGTTGTTAATTTACGTCGCACTAGAGCTGCACTATTGGCGACGGTCTGGGAAACATCCCGGAGGATGATCCGAAGACATGCCATCACAATTCTGATCCTCTGCGGAGGGGATGGCACCCCCGCTTCGGTAGCCCGACGACCTGCGCGCGAAGTCGAGCACTTTACGGTAGCACAGTTTAACGAGGACCAATACCGCACACCCTCGGTCCCTACGCAGACTGATCCAATTGGTCACCCACCCGCAGACTGACCGTAGCCAGTGATGCTTGACTTCGGTGATCTGCTGGGAACCGTGTCTTAACGATCAGTCCACTGCGGGACACAATCACTCAGTAAGAAGGAGCATTTAGTTAGAAATGGATATATGAAGGGGGTTGATAGCTCCTAAAATCATACTTTTATTTAGCAATTTTAGAATTGCATTTGAACCTTATTTATGATATATTATGAAAAAGAAAAAATCCATTGTGAACTATTTTTTTAATTATATTTAAAAGGTAATATTCGTTGTCTGCTAGCTTACAGCTTTATTTCAAAATTTTCTTCCGCGCGCGTTTGTTCTTTGACTTACTAGATTCCATCGTTAATTCATCGGTCATTTCGACGTGGTTTTACGAATTCTCATATTATTGTTATTACGATACGCATAAGAGAAATCGAATAAGAAATCACTGTTGGACGCGTTCAATCAACGCCTATTAATAATCGGTATTAAAAAGTTTTTTTACAATTTTTTCGGCCATTTGTACCTAGATTTTTAAATGCTGATCTTTTTATTTAAGGAGATGTTATTGTGGCACGCAAATTTCGGATTTCAATAACTATTTATTTGAAAACACTGCGATTCCACTTCATTTTACTATCGTTCTTGTGGTCATTTCCACTTTTATCAAATAAGTTATAGGATATGCTCATCGGTATTTTATGAATCACGTAAACTGCAACTATGCTATCGTAAATCAAAGTCGTTTAATAACTTCTCGGAACTTTTCACGTGGGTTTTCCAATTGCAATCTTTTTAATACTTTATTATAACAAGCGAAAATCGTATTTTAGTAATCACTTTTTGATTAGATGGGGGGGAGGAGTAAACCTGCCTAGTCAGATAAGCGAATTAATCGACGTATAGAAGAGAAAAGAAAATTGCTTTCTAATGGTACAATAAAACTTATTTTCGCACTAAAATTCGGCACCCAACTGATCCAAAATAGCGCTTTTTGCACAATTTTGGGACAGTTTGACGCATTTCTAGCAATAACTTCGTTAGGGAGCAGTTTGCGCAGCTGTTCCAACCTTGCAATGAAGATATTTATTGGAACCAAGGCAACTAATGTAGGTACTGTAAGTTTTTTTTTTTAACCCTCCTCGAAAGGGGTAAGTAACGAAAACAATTTCGAGATTGTGGTAGTAAATATCAGGGCTAAAGAGAATAGAAGGGCTAGTTCACTCCGCTCTCAGAGCTGAAGTCACTGTGTCCACAGATCTCAGAGATCGCAAGCAAAGATATTATGACAACTTTGCATCTTTCTATTTGTAAAAATAAGTTAGACTTTTTCTAGTTATTAGCTTTCAAACTTTACGTAATTAACACATTATTTCCGTTCATAAACATAGTTTAACAAAAACTTTCTTGGTTAATTATATTTAAAAAATACCATTTTAAACTTATAAAAATATTTTACTAGTTGGCGAAAATGACACTATAAATACTTTATTTTAAAAAGTTCAGTTTTAACTTTAATTATTAAGAAAAGCATATATCAACCCTTTTTTATCTACATATTCTTTTGTAACAATAAGTTGAGTTAAATTTAGAATCCCCGATTTTAAAATATGCCGTTAATAGCTATTTGTTCATACTTAATCATTAGGAAACATCAACCTTAAACGCTAATTACTGAAACAAAATAATAATTTAGGTTCATAATGACATTAGAAATTTTACAATTGTTTATAGATATTTAAATTTACGATGATATAATTTATAGATATTTAAATTTAAGAGAATATAATTTTTAAAAAAAATCATAAATATTTAGAATAACTACATTAAAAAATATGTTATGAAATTAGGAGAATTCCAACTATATACTATATATTTTATTTATACTTTTTATTTACATTTTAATTTTCTTTGACTTTATCCATTTTTTAATTTTTTTCACCTGCCTTTCTTTTTGAAGTAACGAGGCGGTTTCTATTTAGATAATGAATTTTTATAAAAGTTCTTAACGACAGAATAAACGTATTGCTGTTTTATATTAACTGTGTCATTTCGGAATCCATTCTTTACATAGTTGTTCATTTACTTTAGGGAACACGCGGAAAATTATATTTTTTCCTTCTGTTTTTCTATCAGAATTTTTGCAAGTTGCAATCGCGCAAACTGGCATTTCGTTAATAGTTTTAAAATTTTGTAAATTCACGGCAAAAACTGAGGAAAGTCATTATAGAAAATAACAAATGTCTTAGAATATTTCGCAAAAAGAAATGCTCCAATATTAGTTAGAGCTAGTAAGGCCGAACTCTCTGTTCTTGAAGTAAAAGTGCGAGCTTTGCGCCGAAGTGACGTCACAAGAGAAAATCGGAGGATTGGCGAGACGAGAGTTTCTTCAAAGGAGTGAACCAGCCCTTCTATTCTCTTTAGCCCTGAGTAAATATAGCGTTTGTCTATAGCAATATTATGCCAAATGTGAGAGTTAGTTTGATAGCAAACTAATATAGTGCAAAATATTATTTTTCTTTACCAAATAGTGTAAGCCACCAGGAAGGGCAATAAATGAGTAAAAATTATAGCTTTATCTAAAAATGTCGGTGCATTGCGTTCAATTCTGGCAATTTAAAGTTAATAGATTACCCATATTCCGGATAAGTATTAACATGAACACTTCTAAAAAATATAGATTTTAATTATCCAAAAAGCACTTCACGGTAATAGAACATTCTCAGTCTCCACTAACTTACTCATACCTGCTGTTTAAAATATTCAAGTCAAAGGATCGGATTCGCGTACGATATCAACTCTGTTGCAGTGACAACTGTTCTTCAAACACAGTAAATGAAAAGTAGGAAAAATAAGGATTTGAATACCTTTAACTTTTAACCAGATCACATATTTTATTTGAAGTTTTTTTTTTTTTCGCCTCATGATGAATAAATAAGAAATTCTAACACCGCTGTAATGAACTCAGGATGTAGTAAACATTAGATTCTAGAGCAAGTTTCAAGGGTTCCGTCTGAAACATTCGCTTATATTTCCTAAGCTTAGGTGAAAAAAGCTCGGTCATAGAGAATGCTATATTTCCATTAAGTTTTTCAATTACCATGCTCAGTTTAAATAGTCAGTTGATGCGATAGATTCAATGGTATCGCAAATTGCATTTTAAAAGAAAATCAAATCGCACAAATTATAAATTGTTTAGCACTTGTCATTTCACTGAAATGAATAAGTGTGCAGTTCTAAAAACAAGCAAGAGAGCGAAATGATCGCACAGAAATTCCAACTTCTAATTGATATTTCCATATTAAAAAAAAAAGAAAAAAAAGACGAAAATCAAAGCCAGACAGCTAAATAATTCAAGAATAATGAAAATTTTAAGATAAGCATCTGAAATAATTATAAGGGCACGTCGTCATTGGAAGATATTCGTTATAGACTTCTCATATCTAGTTAGAGAGCAAATAATGTGCTTTTGAAATAGCAGTTTCTCAGAACATCCAAAGGAAAATACCGAAAATCTTATTTGAAATGTTATTCACAAAAGTGTTAAAATGATAAAAACACAACACAATTTAAAAGAAACACATTTATTTCTACTAAAAAAAGAAAATACATATCTACGTGAAACAAGAGACACACATAAAAAGGTGATACAAAAAAAAATGGCACTTGGAACTTTCGGAGACATACCGCTGAGCGTGGATAGAGCCAATTGGTTGCAGGACTGACATGTGTCGAAGATAATAAAATAATAAAGTAAAACAATAAAAAAAAACATTAAGATAACCTCTAGAATTTAGGAAATCGAAAATCCTGCCTAAAACTTTGCATGATTTATTCAAATTAAAAAAATTTAAACAATAAATCATAATTGCTAAGTTGTATATAATGTGTAGATCAATATTCATTTCAACTTTTAATATGTCAAACTAAACTCTTTGCAAGATTATTGTGCCCTTCTGCATTAGAAGCCTGTTTCGAAAAAGAATATGTTTAAAAACAGACAGTAAAGCCTAGATAAAGCAAAGCTTTAACAATGTGCTTCAAATAAAGAAATGTCATTAACCATTCTC